AATATCCTCCTTTTTTACAATCTCAATCACTACGACTCACTCTCAACAAGCTACGTCGTTTATCTTTTCATTTTGGAGAGACAATTGAGATCCTTTTCCATGGGCCTACCCCTTTTGGGCTATTTTGGCCCCATTTTAAAAGATATGCTAAAGTGCTTTTCTTCTCCATCTTGAGAAGACAACACACCCACCCCCACCACCACTCTCATCTTTTCCTCTTTATTATATTTTGGATAAATTATACTTTGCCCCCCTAAAATTTCTCTCATTTCTCACTTTGGTCCTTTCAAGTTTGATTTTTCTCACTTTGGCCCTTTATGTTTACAATCCTTCCCACTTTGGTCCTTCATATTTGCAATTATTCTCACTTTGACCCTTTAAGTTTGATTTTTCCCACTTTAACCCTTCATGTTTGTAACCCTTCCCACTTTACTCCTAAACTAACTTTTATCTAAAAAAGTAACAAAATTTGTCACATCACTAACACATCAGCTCCATATGTGATGTACAAAATTTACTAAAGATGCAAAAAATAAAAAACAAAAAAATTAGAATTTTTTTTTTTAATCTTTAGTAAACTTTTTTTTCAAATTTATTCATAAACATTATTACGTTACAGATGCATCTACATTAGATGCAGCTAAAAAAATAAAAATAAATTTAACTAAAAAAAGAAAAAAGTTCACTAAAGACAAAAAAAAAACAATAGTAAATTTTTTATTTCAGAATCGACAATACAGGTGTTTGAGTCAGTAAATTTTTATTTTTTTCGTCTTTAGTAAACTTTTTTCTTTTTGGGCAAATTATACAAATAGTCCCTATAGTTTGGGGTTTGTATCACTTTGGTCCCTAACTTTTCAATTGTGACATATTTGATCCTGAATTTTGAATCTTGTTCCAAATAAGGACAATTGAACATATCATTAGATTTTTCAAGGGTAAAATTGTCAATTTGATAAAATATAAACTAATTTTACAAAAATAAATGTCAAACAAATATTTTTGAATTTTTAAAAATTATTTATACTCACTAAAAATAAAATTATGTAAAATTGATAAATTTTTTAGACATTTATTTTTTTTTTACCAAATTAATTTTTATTATGTGTTTGGATGATGATCATGTAAAATTAATTTTAAAAAATTAATCATGTAATTTTTATTAATTTTATCATTGGCGATAAAAATAATTTTTAAAAAATTAAAAATATTTTTTTGACATTTATTTTTGTCAAATTAGTTTATATTTTATCAAATTGGCGATTTTACCCTTGAAAAATCTAATGATATTTTCAATTGTTCTTATTTGGAACAAGATTCAAAATTCAGGGTCAAATGTGTCACAATTAAAAAATCAGGGACTAAAGTGACACGAGCCCCAAACTATGGGGACTATTAGTGTAATTAACCCTTTCTTTTTTTAGTTAAATTTGTTTTTATTTTTTTAGTTGCATCTAATCTAAATGCATTTATAATGTAATAATGTTTATAAATAAATTTGAAAAAAAAAATTCACTAAAGACTAAAAAAATTCCACATAGAGCTGATGTGTTAGTGAATTTTTATTTTTTATATTGTTTTCATCTAAAAAAATTGTAGATGCATCTGTAAAATTGTTTTCTATTTTTTATTTTTTATTGTAGATGCATCTCTAAAATTGTAGATGCATCTGTAAAAGTCTAAAAATTCATCTAAAAAAAATTGTTTTCTATTTTTTATTTTTTTGCATTTAGTGATTTTTTTTATATCACACATAGAGCTGATGTGTTAGTAATGTGGCAAATTTTATTAATTTTTTGGATGGAAGTTAGTCTAAGAATAAAGTGGGATGGATTGCAAACATAAAAGGCCAAAGTGAGAAAAATTAAACTTAAAGGGCCAAACTGGAAAATGAGTAAAATTTTAAGGGACAAAATATAATTTATCCTAGTATTGGTGGGCCCAAGGAGGAAGACAACTTTAAAATTATGAAATACTTATTTCGCAATAATAGTATAATAATTATATTTACTTATCATATGGTCAAAAACAAGTTGATAGAACTTACATTAAACTAATACAACGATGATAAATCAAATGTAATTTTCGTAATATTATTAATTATTTCATGATCTCAAACTATTACATCAGTTTTTATCTCAGCCATTAAAGATCGATTACCTAAATTAATGAAAGACTTGAGATCTCACATTTTCACCCTTCCAAAGAGGTGTCCTGAATAGCTAGGACTGGGAATTTTATTTTATGAAGCAGCAATGAATAATTTTCTTTTTCTTTTTTTTTTCTTTTTTTTTTAACAATCAATAAGAATTGAGAGCGAAATTGAATCACGCGGCAAGCTAGACTCACACTTACGCTGTGTTTGGATGGGGGATTTGAGGAGAGATTTGGAAAGAAAAAAGGAAAAGTTAGGTGAAATATGAATAAAATATACTTACATTTCACATAATTTCACACACCTTTTCTCTTTTCCTTTCTAAATCCCTCCCTAAATTCTCCAACCAAACACACCATTAGGGAGTTTTTTTTTTTTTTTTTTTCATGTCCGAATGATTTCAGATTCTATCTTTTTTTTTTTTTTTTTTTTTGGTGGATATGCAAGATAAGATGGATCAAAAAATCCTAAACAACCCCACAGAAAAAGTGGGTTCCAGTGGCAGTGCTTTAAAACCAGGCCGTGGAATATACAACTTGGGCTGGGTTGACCTAACATTTGCATGCCCATACTAAAATCTGGGCAAACTGATTAGCCACACCCCGTATTGGGCTTTGTCTAGGCCCAATTGAGTATGTGATCAAATCCATAGCCATGTCATTGTCGAATCCTCTTCCATCTAGGCTAGGACCTAGGCATGGGATGGCTATTTTTGACCCGACCCGACCTATCTGGTTTGACATAATTTTCACAATGTTTGTATTTTATCTTCTACTGATAAATAAAATATACAATTTTTTTCATAAAATCGAGGGATTATTTACTTAAATTGCCCAAAGAACAACAAAGATTTGTGCTATTTGATTTCATTTTCAAAATCTATTTTTGGATTAATTTTTCCTAAGACTAAAAATTAGTTTGGTGAGAAAAAGAAAATGAAAAAACTAAAATAAAAAACAACTATCATTTTCATAAGATTTTTTTTTGGACAAATAATTTTAAAAATTTTGAAAACATCATTTTTGTGCTTATTTTTATCAATTTAGAATCTAGTTTTAAAAAATAAATAAATAAATAAAAATTTATTTTGAAAACGAAACTAAACGGGATGACAAGCATTCTTTAAATTAGAACCATATGTAAAATGAGCAAGCATCATGCATGCATATAAAATATGAGTAATTCTATTTACACACTATCAAACCTCTCAATAGCACTATTTCCATACTTTTTAAAATTTCAATTTTAACCTTTAATCAAATTACCTTTCTGTACAAACCCCTCCACCATTAACTCCAGCTACGCCATCATCACCACTAGCCTTCGCCACCCCTGTTGGCTGTCGCCATCACCAGAAAGCACTACTGCCACATCTTCGTAACCCACCACCAATCGTAAACTTCACTTCTACAGTCTTTTTCTTTCGATGGCGTATCAATCTCGCTACTTACTTCTCGTGAGAGAGAGAGAGAGAGAGATATCTAGGTTTTTCCAAGCAACACTACCCTCTTCTTGCAAGCAATGTTGACTACGATGGTCGTACGCAGCGACAGCGGCGATGGCCATTTTTGGTATGGTGAATGGTGGCAATTTCTAGTTATGGCAATGGTAGGGCGACAAAGGCATTGATTTCTGGTAATGGCTTGACGGTGGGATTTGAAGAAAATAAGAAGAAAAAAGAGAAGCTGGAGGTGAAGAGGAGGGAAGAAGGTTAGAAAGGAAATGGCAGTGGTGGCGATTTTTGGTGACATCAATGGTTGATGGCGTGACGACAGTAATGGTGGGTAAAGTTGCAATTAGGGTTAGGGTTAGGGTTTAAATTAGGAAATATATGGATATTTTAAGAATATTTAAAAATAGATGGTGTGAATTGGGTAAAAAGCATAAAATTAAAGTTGTGTATGGTATACACTGAGTAAGTCGTGTGTATTGAGATAATAACTAGTAGTTAGGGTTAGGGTTAGGGTTGAAATTGGGAAATATCATAACAAATGTGCGCATTTACCATAAAAAAAAAATGCTAACAATTTGAAGTAATTGGATCAATATTTAAGACGAAATCAAATTAAAATTCAAGATCAAAATTGATCCAATTGAAATTATATGAACCAAAATGACACACGACTCAAATTATAAGGACTAAAACCATCTCCAACGGTTCAGCAAATTAATCATCAAACCTGACATCAGATTTCAGATTTGATGAAAAATGTACTTTTTAGAGCTCCAACGGTTTCACCAAATTAGTATCAAAATGAGAATTGAATAAAAAAATCATCAAACTGATAACAGAATACAGGTTTCACCAAATTACTGTGCGTGACCGTTGGAGGAGACCTACCGGTCAACTAGCCGGTTGAGCCATCGGTCGACCGGTTTCCTTTCAAATAGTGGGTTCAAACCGGTCAAAAAAAAGTTCAAACGGTTAAAAAAAAAAATTACCTTACTAGTCGACCCGCCGGTCGACCAACCGGTCGCCTCTCTCCTTTTTGATGCTCACTGTTGGAGCCAGTCATATCAAATTGAGAAAATTAACTTTTTTAACTCAAATTTAATGAAAATTTTAATTAATGATTGGAGATGGTCTGATAGTTTAATTTGTCCTAAAAAATTCTTTTGCTATCTCATGTTGATGGTGACTCTAAATGCACCTAAAACATTGGACACCACGTTGCACCACATTACTTGAACAACTCCGTCCTAATTTTGAATTTTTTTTGTTACACACCCCAAAACACTCAATTAATCCCACTTTTATCCCTCTCACTCGCTTTACCACCGCCGGAGCCCACTTCTCAACTCTGCGCCGCCCCTTCCATTCTTTTGCCGCCATCCGCCGCCGACCCTTCTTTTTATTTTTCTTCTTCTTCTTTTCATCCTCATCCTGATCATCTTCCTTTAAAAAAACCGTAGATCTAGAGGAGGAGGAGGAGAAAAATGGACTGTGATAGCGATGGCAGAGTTGCTCTGACGATCCAAATTTTCCTGATTTAGTCACTTCATCGCCTATTCCTTCTGGGTTTTCTGGTCTTGACATTAGTTATTGTAGAAGGAGGCACTACTACAAGCAGAGCTGACATTAATGAAGCTAATTGAGAATAAAAAATTAAAATAAAAAAATTTAAACAAAATCGCCTATTATTCACCATTTATTACAACTCAGAATAGTGAAAGACAACAAAATAAAAATAAATAAATTGAATATTGTATGCAAACAATACAAACAAACCTTGTTTTGAAGATATGATCTAGAATCAGAGCAAGATTTAAAGCAAAATTAGGGCTGACATTAATGACCGGAGCTAGGAAGGGAATCACCAGAGTTGGGCTGCTATCGGAGTACTGTAAAGACAACAAAATAAAAATAAATAAATTGAATATTGTATGCAAACTGTTAATGTACACCTCCTACACCACTAAAACCTACCACTACCACTACACACCTCCACTACTCCTCACCCACTCCACCTCCACTTTACCTACTACCACCACTCACTCTACACCTACTACTCCCAAAACCTCTCTATATATAGGACTTGTAATATACAGATACAAATAACAATATATCAATCTTGTAATCAATATCAATCAATACATAATTCATTTTCCCTCTCTCTTTATACATTGAATTTACATGGTATCAGAGCTAGGTTAAGAACTTAATATTTTCGTTCCACCGGCGGGCGGCAATCTCGCCTTGGCCGCCCGCCGGACAAACCCAACACAGCCACACATAGACACCATTCTCTCTTCTCTCTCTAACACACTGTTCTTCTCTTCATCCACTCAATTCACCTTTATTCTGAGCAACCCATGTCGAAAGACTCCTTCTTCGAAGCCAATTCCATCACTTTTTGGCAAGACACAGAGGCATTGAGAGAGTTCAAGAACGGACTCGATCCTAACTCAGTCAGACCCGGTTCGTGTCTGAGCTCATGGGACTTCACTCTCGATCCATGCGACAACCTCTTCACATGTGGGTTTCGATGCGACCTCGTTATTTCAACGATGAGTCAAGTAACCGAACTCGCTCTCGACCAGGCGGGTTACGTGGGTTCACTAGCTTCCACCTCCTGGATCCTCCTCCACCTGCTACTGTTACTCCTTCACACCCAGTGCAGACCAGTGTTTGGTGTCCTCATAAAAGATTTCTTCAGCATCTCGTTTAGTTGATAGGCTTGGAGGTTTACTGTTAAGCCTTTGAGGCCATGGGGCGGGCCAGCTAACCACAGCTGGCAGCAGGGCAAGACAATTGTCAAGGGGCACATACCATGAACTGTTTGGCCTACTGGTTTGATCACATAAAGATGAATCAAAAGTTTTTGCCACTACCTTCCAGCATAGAGATTCAGTCAGAACCACCATAGAGTTCCAGACATTCTGATCTCTTTTATCATCACGGTATACTGGCAAACACACACCAAACCCAGATCAGAAGTGGCGGAGATGGGTCCACGGTCACCGCCAGAAGAACCACCAACAAAGGCGGAGGCCGCCAGCGACGCCTCCGACACCCGTACATCTCCGCCGACACCCGGCTTCACCATCGCAGCCGGAGACGAATCGGAGGCACAGCTCCGACCCAGACAGTCCTGAAAAATGGTGGGTTTCACTTCGTCGTTGGTGTTTTTAGCATCTCTCTCTCTCTACTCCCCTCTCTCTCTCCACTATATCCCCTCACTCTCTGTCTCTACTTATTTCACGGGTTTTTTTTTTGGCACCAATTCATGTGGGTATGAGGCAACAATTCAGAATACAAAAGGACAGCTACCCTGTTTTCTTTTCTTTTCTTTTCTTTATTCTCCACCCAGGCAACAATTCAGAATACACCCACATGACTCCCTTTCTTTTCTTTTCTTTATTCTCCACCCACACAACATATAGAATATATATTCCCCCACATGATTCTCATCATTCATCCCACTAAAGTATATATATTAACAAAAAAAAAAACAACCTCACCCCGATCTTTCTCCCCTTACACATCCAAAAATATTGACTTTTATCTATTTTCTTTTTATCATTTTATTTTATTTTTCTTATTCTCCAAAAACCCCAACACCAAAATCAACACCACAAACATTCCACACACTTGTCCTTTCTTCATGCCGGGGATCAACCCCAATCACAATTTTACACACACAAAAAAAAAAAAAAAAACAAAAAAAAAAACAAAAAAACAAAAACCACACATAAGGAGGATTTTCTTATTCGGGTTTTTTTCTTGGTCGGTTGAGGTGAGGTGGTGTGTTTCGGTGAGTATTTGTTGCATTGTGACATGAACATGGTGGGTTGGTTACTCTTTTTTTGTTAGTAGTTTTCTGTGGATATGCTTTATGTGGTGGAGAGTGTGTGGCTTTAATTGATTGGTCTAATGGGGTGGAAAGTTTTGTGAGGCGTCATGGTTACTGTTAAAGTTAACGATGTCCAATCGTTTGTGATTTTTTGTCACGTGATCGGGACAGTTAGGACATGGTGTTTGGTTGAGGTTAGGGACCGCACCTGCTTCTCTCTTGTGGACTCGTTGAGCTGGGAAAGAGAGTAAGCAGACACGGGGCAGAGCGAGCCATTTTCATCTAGACAGAGTGTTACAGACTACTCTCTCTCAGGCACAAAAGTGTTTACAGCTTTCTTGCTGTCGTCAGCACAAGACGCAGAATTCTTCAAGAGGTTTCTCTCAGTTTCTTGTTCTAGCCTCTGCTCGGCTCATGCTCGTCTTGGTTAAATAGCCGAGCAGCCAAGCGCATCGCGAGCCCTTCTCGCGCGACAAACTGGTCCGCCTTTTTTCATGGCACCCTTTTTGATGCATTCGGGCACTTGCCTTTTTGATGGCACGCTTTTGAGGGTGCGGGCACACTTTTGAGGGCACGCTTTTGGAGGAGCTCGATACGTACATCGCATGTATATTTTTTGGGCAGCCTATATCACACTCATCAGTGTTCTTCCTACACGTCAGTCTTTATTCAAATCCTTTGTTTCACTCAAATAAGGTTTCTATCTTCACACCTATTTGAGTTTGAGGGGGGGTTATACTACAGTAGGTCATGTATAAGTGCCTATGGCTAGCGGCGGTTAACTCACTACACCGTAAAATAGTCGCAGCGGCACCCATTGGAGTTGGATGCGAGTTCCCACTACGACCAGATCTGTCTGGCTACAGACGGTGGCGGGGCCAAAGACCTGGGGTTGTGGTTCAGATTAGAAGACAGTTTAAGGGGTCAATGTTCCGGCGGTTGTAAGCAACGAACTTTCCGGGATCATTCGGAACCCCGTTGGTAAGAGACAAAAGTTTACGGGGGTAGTTCGGAAACCGAATGTAGAAGACAGTACATATAGGGTCCAATGAGTCGGACCATTGTAGAAGGACAGTATACGGGGTATAGCTGGTCGCATGGACACCGTTGTAGTAAACTGTCCAGGAAGTCTCGTTAGCTGAGTGCATTCGGTCGACAGGATGGGCTGGACGATAATAATTGTCTTGTAGGCAAGTGCTCGGAGTTGGGAAGCGCTTTGATCCATGGACCTACTGTAACTGTCAGCGGTATTACCTACCACCTCGAATACTGATCTCAAAAACATCTGGTGTTGAAGAAGAAACTTATTGTGAGTGAAACAAGGGATTGCATTTAAAGCCTTCTGCGCTTACACGCGTGACGGATCGCGCAGATGACCCACGTAGGGGTCTATGAATGTTCGTGGATACTATAGTCTTCGTAGCACGCAAAATATACATGACGATGTAGACTCATGAGCCTTCAAAGTCGGTGGCCCTAAAAGAGTGTGGCCCGGCATCCGTCTAAAAGGCGTGCCATCAGAAAGGCGTGCCCGAATGCATCAAAAGGTGATGCCTATGGAAGAGGCTGTTGCTCAGGGTCGCGGCGGTGTGGTCGCGAGACGAGTGCGCTGCGATGGGCGCGGGGTGGCTTGCCTGCGGCTATTGTAAACCAGTACGCTACGGAGCTAGGGCCCGATTGTGGCTCATTGGGCTTGGAAGGACAAATGAATCTGAGAGTACAACGGCATCTCTGCAGACAATTCTTGCGATTGTGCCTGGAGAGAGAGAGGCTGTAACTGTTGTTCTGGAGAACTGTTCCGCGATTTGGTTAGAGACCGACGTGCTCTGATAGCACCATATCTACACATGAGGTCGTAGCGCATGACGCCGTCCACTGTCCCGACAAGTTAGATAAATTATGGCTTTTCGGTCGGTTTACGTGCGTTCTGCTATCACATCAACGGTCTTGATCCCTTTGCCCTGACTTTCACGAGTTAAAGATGAAGTTAGCAGGTGCGTGTTCTGTACTAACCACAACGCTGTCTGATACACATGGGTTGTCCGTTGGAAGCTTTCCGATCAAGTACGGTAGGATGCAAAAATGCAGCTGCAAACGGATTTGGAGGATAATAGGTCTGACTTTGACAGGCTGTGTGGAATCATATGACGCGTAAACGACTTTCGACGGCTCGAGAGTAAAAACGATAAGATCGTGCATAGTGCAGATTAAACGCCCAGTGGTTGCTCACGATGTATAAGGATGCGCGAGAAAGATTATGCGTGCTAAGCGGGCAGAAACAAGGTAGTCAAGCGGAGGCCGTGATTCTCTCCGTATTTGAGCTGGGTTCATTATGTTTCATTTGAGATGGTAGGTAGCATCTTTGATTGGTGCGTGTCGGAGGATCATTGTGGAGGCACACGTCCACGTGAGGGTACGCATGCCCAAGGCTCGGAGATGGGTCGCGGATTGGGTACTAAGCTGGGCCAGCTGGTGTTAGAGAAGATATTGCCTTGTGGAGTTGAGGGGTGGTGGTTGTGTGTGTGCTTTGTTGTATTGTACTTTCATATCTTATTATTTTTCCTATTCTTTTGCTGTCATAATATTGGAATTAGCGGTTGATCTCGGATGACACATACTCATAAGCTGCTGCTAGTGCAACGCTCTTGCGGATTATATCTTATGTTGCGCGGATTTTTGGAGAATCACTCTACCTAAGTAATATCCAATCAAACATCTCTTAAAAATATAGTTAAAAAGAAAGAGATTAGTAGTAATAAAAAAAATTATCTTAGGTGATAACAATGATTGAACACATGGATTGTAATAAATGTGGAGTGTCAAGGTACTTGTATAGTGTTGGTCTATTTGTCTCGCCTCTCTTCTTTATGGGTCTATTAGAACTTTACACATAAGAGTGGTCAAACAAAATGCGGGTTAGTTTTTTAAGATATTTGATCTGATGGTAGTCGACAATGAGGTGAAGACCTTTAAAGGCGGAGAAATCTTAGGGGCGTGATCACTTAATGAAACGAGCGTACTGGAAGGGGGAAGAAGTCAACAACGCAGTATG